CAGATGACGTACAAGGACGTGTCCTTTCAGATGTACGTCACAATGGACACTCGACCGGTCGACACATTGTTCAACATCGTCGTCTTCTTACTGGTAATCACCGCAAATATCGGAATGGGGACACAGGTATAATAGTTCGTACGTAGATCATGTAAGATTTTGTTTTCTTTCTTTTGTATTGTCTTCGCGGGTTGGCTCCCTGGTGAAGCCGGACTTTTCTAAAAAAAATGACCTTGGCTCCCAGGTCGACCCAGCCTTGAGTGGGTACCGGGAGCAGTCCCGGGAAGTAGAGGCGGCCGGCGTGATGCTGACCACATCACCCATCTTGTGCCGTTGGTCTATAAAAATATAGGTCTAGCCCTATATGCCCTATACGCCTAAAGGCGTGGAAAGGGCCCTTTACTTTACTTTTTCTACTTTTGTATTGTTTCTTTTGATACAGTTTGCCTTCAAATGTGCTGGCACAAGCTAAAATACTAATACACACACACTGGGCACGTAGTTGTTACTTTGCAGCCGTTTTAACATCTACCCAGTTCTTTGGTTGTATAAGTATCCGGGGGTCTTTATTTGCCAGTTACCTACTTTTGATTGCTCAGGTAATAAAGTGTTAGTATCCAACGGTGCCAAATCTTCCCTGTTCTATTCTGAATTATATAGGTATCTTAGTCACAGGTTTTTCCTTCTTCTTCTTCTTCTTCTTCTTCTTCTTCCTCTTCTTCTTCTTCTTCTTCTTCTTCTTCCTCTTCTTCTTCTTTTTCTTCTTCTTCTTCTTCTTCTTCTTCTTCTTCTTCTTCTTTTTCTTCTTCTTCTTCTTCTTCTTCTTCTTCTTCTTCTTCTTCTTCTTCTTCTTCTTCTTCTTCTTCTTCTTCTTCTTCTTCTTCTTCTTCTTCTTCTTCTTTTCTCTACTCCTAAAAAACCTCGCAGCTTTCAGGCAAAAAGATATCTTTGCAACGGGCCCTTTGTTTCGCCTCATATAAAGAACTTTTCAGTGTCTCTGATATTTATGCGGTCCATGTTCTGCGTGGTCGACCTCTGTTACTGTTGTATCTTTATTGCATTGCTCTCTGTGGTGCCCTGTCTTTTTCCACGACCAGACCATCTAATTTTTTTGTCTGCCGATAAAGTTCAGTATTGGTTCTGTGCCGACTATGCTCCTGATATCATCGTTCCTAAGTCGATCTTTCCTCGTTACATCTAGTATAGTACGTAAACATCCAATTTCTGTCGTGTCTATTTTCCTTCTGTCTTCAGAAGACACTTTCCATGTTTGCATCTGGCAGTAATCTTTCCTCGAAAAACTGCGATTCCCAGCGACAAAAAGCAGATAATCAAAGAACTAATCTCATGCGGTGGTGCTGGTATTAAGAACTCAGATTGAGATAGACAGAACTAAACATGGCTTTTCAATGCACATAACAACACCGAGACAAGACGGCGGATACAAATAAAGAAGAAAAAAAAAAAGAAAAAAAAAAGGGGGGGGGGGGGGGGGGTTGCCGCACGGGCCACAGCCACAAAAACAGGAATGTCCCGGTAAAAACAGGAAGTATGTTCACGCTACCCAGAAACGTGGTTAGGAGGATCCTCTTTGTCGATCTGACCATGATCTGAAAGAAGTCTCCGAGAAAGTCCTGTGCCAATGGTGCACTCGACACAGATCACTGAATCTTGCCGATGCTGGCTGTTTATGTTTCACATATATCCTTATTGTGATTGTTTATGTTTCACTGATGTGCTGATTGTGACTATTTATGTTTCACTGATGTGCTGATTGTGACTGTTTATGTTTCACTGATGTGCTGATTGTGACTATTTATGTTTCACTGATGTGCTGATTGTGACTGTTTATGTTTCACTGATGTGCTGATTGTGACTGTTTATGTTTCACTGATGTGCTGATTGTGACTGTTTATGTTTCACTGATGTGCTGATTGTGACTGTTTATGTTTCACTGATGTGCTGATTGTGACTGTTTATGTTTCACGGATGTCCTTAGTGTGATTGTTTATGTTTCACTGATGTCCTCATTGTGACTGTTTATGTTTCACTGATGTCCTCATTGTGACTGTTTGTGTTTCACAGATGTCCTTAATGTGACTGTTTATGTTTCACTGATGTCCTCATTGTGACTGTTTGTGTTTCACAGATGTCCTTAATGTGACTGTTTATGTTTCATTGATGTCCTCGTTGTGCCTGTTTATGTTTCACTAACATCCTCATTGTGACTGTTTATGTTTTACGGATGTCCTTATTGGAATGTTTTTGTGTTCTCTTCAGGTCGATATGGATATAGTCAAATCTCAGCTTCTGCGACCTATTGCTCCAGCAATTGGTCTTTTTTCCCAGTTTGTCTTCATGCCATTGGTAAGTCTTCGATACCCTGTTGAGACATTAGGTCTGTTTTTGTAGTTTATCTTTATGCCACTGGTAAGTCTTCGATACCCTGTTGGGCCAATAGGTCTGTTTTTGTAATTTATCATTATGCCACTGGTAAATATTCGATACCCTGTTGAGACATTAGGTCTGTTTTTGTAGTTTGTCTTTATGCCACTGGTAAGTCTTCGATTACCTGTTGGGACATTATGTCTGTTTTTGTAGTTTATCTTTAGAAAAGGTTATTTGACTGGCCATTAGAGGACCCTGCACACCAGCGCCAGAATTTGTTGACGGTTTGTGGTTTTACCAAAAAATTTTAAGTCCAGTAGTTTGCCATTGCCACTAAATTTTCGGCCCTCGATGCCATTGTCGAAATCAACGCAGAGTTGTCTGTTGCAATGTTGCCCGCAGCTGGAATCTGGAATCTAACCGATTACCTCTGCAACACAAATCACTTTCGCAACTAGCCACAGGTACTAGTGTTAAAGAAAAGACAAGCTATGACATTAGGTCTGTTTTCAGAGTCTGTCTTGGTGCTAGTGTTTAATCTTAGACCTACTAGAACATTAGGTCTGTTTTCAGAGTCTGTCTTGGTGCTAGTGTTTAATCTTAGACCTACTAGAACATTAGGTCTGTTTTCAGTTTCTGTCTTCGTGCTGGTGTTGAATCAAAGACCTACTGGAGCATTATATCTGTTGTATGTCTTCGTGCTGGTGTTAAATCTAAGTTCCTCTAGAACATTAGGTCTGTTTTCAGTTTCTGTCTTCGCACTTGTGTTAAATCTAAGTTCCTCTAGAACATTAGGTCTATTTTCAGAGTCTGTTTTCATGCTAGTGTTAAACCTAAGTTCCAGTGAACATTAGGTCTGTTTTCAGAGTGTGTCTGCGTGATAGTGTTAAATCTAAGACCTACTGTGGCATTATATCTGTTGTATGTCTTCATGCTAGTGTTAAATCTGAGTTCCAGTTGAACATTAGGTCTGTTTTCAGAGTGTGTCTGCGTGATAGTGTTAAATCTAAGACCTACTGGGGCATTATGACTGTTTTATGTCTTCGTGCTAGTGTTAAATCTAAGTTCCTCTAGAACATTAGGTCTATTTTCAGAGTCTGTCTTCATGCTAGTGTTAAACCTAAGTTCCAGTGGAACATTAGGTCTGTTTTCAGAGTGTGCCAGCGCCCTGATTTTCCCCCATCTTCCGTCTAACTCTATTAGTTGTTCCAGTGACCTTTTAGTCATTTTCAAACCAGAATAAATATAAGATTTTTAATTTGCTGCACTGTAGTCTTCGTCGCTTCCACCCTATTACAAATCTAAGACCTACTGGGGCATTATGTCTGTTGTATGTCTTCGTGCTAGTGTTAAATCTGAGTTCCAGTGGAACATTAGGTCTGTTTTCAGAGTCTGTCTTCGTGCTAGTGTTAAACCTAATTTCCAATGGAACATTAGGTCTGTTTACTGGGGCATTAGGTTTCTCTTCATAGTCTGTCCTCATGCCAGTGATAAACATAAGACAAACTTGGAATAAGTTCTGTTTTCAGTGTATGTCTTAGTGTCAGTGTTGTTGTTCTTTTTTTTTTTTTTTAAATATTCAGAAACCGTGAGTTGTAAAACCTTTGGCTCGGCACTATGGATGTGAAAATCTAAGATCTACTGGGACATTCGAGTCAATGTTAAAACAAAGATTTATTATCACTTTAGGTCTGGTTTCAGAGTTTGTATTCAAGCTTGTAGTAAGTCTTCAGCTACCAGTCACCCCGAAAATAATCATGAAATCGACAGAAACATTATCCCTGATTGCTAATACATTTGCAGATAAAACACTTCTAGACTGGGCATTTTTTTACCAAACAGAAGACTAATCTATTGATCTGGTCAACGTTATTAATGCGCCCATTTTTTAGTGACTTCAAACATGAGGGTAAACGAGAGAGAGAGAGAGAGGGAGAGAGAGAGAGAGAGAGAGAGAGAGAGAGAGAGAGAGAGAGAGAGAGAGAGAGTAATTTCGGGGACAATTCTTCCACGTCGCTGCAAAAAATTAGATTTGGGAGTACAGATTTGCTCTGGCAGACGCTGTGTTTGAAAAATCTCGTCAACAAATACTGAACTGGCGCCTTTAGGCGTATAACTTTCGGCTTTGAGGGGTCGAGCGAAGTCGTGGAAGGGTGTATATCTCGAAAGGGAAATCTGAACACCAACTGACATGTCTGGAGTGCCGTAGCTGATAACTTCACGTCTCAAGTGTTTGCTAAAGTCTTTCTTTTTCTTCGCTTTTACCAGCTGTAAACTTTGGTGAAAACTTATGGTTGTTCTTCCATTTATGTGCTTTAATTTCACACAAGATCCTTAATTTTCTCTTTCACATTCGCTTTACATATTTGGCTTATCATTATGCAGACTGCTGGTTCCTCGCTTTTCTAGCAGATACACTCGGACGTTGGAGAAAACAACCATAATTAGTTTATTTTGCAACATGCTTTTGAGGAAAGCAGCTGGTCTACGCCCCCCCCCCCTTTTACTCCCGCCCTAGTCCCCACCCAGTGGGGCCTGGAACCCATACAAGAGTTCACTAAAAAAAAATATAAATATGACAGAGCGGTAAACTGGCAGACGCCATATTTCAGATAGCCTATGCAGTTGCGGTGAACCTCGCTGTGGAGCCTGGAATTGCACTGGGGCTGTTCGCCTGTGGGTGTGCTCCAGGAGGCCTGGCTAGCAACATCTTCACCTACCTACTGCACGGCAATGTCAGTCTCAGCATCACCATGACGCTGGTCAGCACGCTAGCCTCGTTCGGTAACCGCTGTGCTCATGTGTGGGTGGGAGGTTGTATCCTCATGTTTATGTAACACTCCAGCTGTGTTCATGTGTGTGTGTGTGTGTGTGTGTGGGGGGGGGGGGTGTTGTATTCTCACTGTTTATGTAACACTCCATCTGTGCTCATGTGTGAGAGGAAGGCTGTATTCTCACTGTTTATGTAACACTCCATCTGTGCTCATGTGTGAGAGGAAGGCTGTATTCTCACTGTTTATGTAACACTCCATCTGTGCTCATGTGTGAGAGGAAGGCTGTATTCTCACTGTTTATGTAACACTCCATCTGTGCTCATGTGTGAGAGGAAGGCTGTATTCTCACTGTTTATGTAACACTCCATCTGTGCTCATGTGTGAGAGGAAGGCTGTATTCTCACTGTTTATGTAACACTCCATCTGTGCTCATGTGTGAGAGGAAGGCTGTATTCTCACTGTTTATGTAACACTCCAGCTGTGCTCATGTGTGAGAGGAAGGCTGTATTCTCACTGTTTATGTAACACTCCAGCTGTGCTCATGTGTGAGAGGAAGGCTGTATTCTCACTGTTTATGTAACACTCCAGCTGTGCTCATGTGTGAGAGGAAGGCTGTATTCTCACTGTTTATGTAACACTCCAGCTGTGATCATGTGTGAGAGGAAGGCTGTATTCTCACTGTTTATGTAACACTCCAGCTGTGCTCATGTGTGAGAGGAAGGCTGTATTCTCACTGTTTATGTAACACTCCAGCTGTGCTCATGTGTGAGAGGAAGGCTGTATTCTCACTGTTTATGTAACACTCCAGCTGTGCTCATGTGTGAGAGGAAGGCTGTATTCTCACTGTTTATGTAACAGTGAGGAACTTCCTCTAGGCCAAGCAGATCAGCTTTCACGTGAATTCCTCCAGACCACTCCACATACAGCATGGAATAAGATGATAACTTGCAGTATATTTATTATCGGATACCTAAACTGTCACGTCAGGCTAAACAATTTCTGGAGGCCTCGGAGATGTGGTTTTACAGAAGAATGCTTAGAATACCCTGGACAGGAGGTTTTGAAAGAGGCGGGAGCCCGAAGACAACTTATCACAGACATCAGAAGGAGACAGTCATCATTTTTTCGGCCATGTTATGAGAGGAGGGAAAATAGAACATGTTGTGACCACTGGAAAGATCTGTGGACGGAGGGATAGAGGAAGACAACGAGAGATGATGCTTGACAGTCTTGTTGCATGGCATGGAGGTGTGTCAGCACCAGTAGTGATACATGCTGCAGGAGATACCAGATTATGGGGAGGCATGATCGCCCAAGCCAGTCGGCAAGGCACCTGATGATGAGGAAACTGTCCCGTCCCTGTCGTCCCAATAGCCTGAAGTTAGTCAAAGACCGCTGTGGTAAAACATACAGTAACATGTAACTTTGCAGTTTGTATATTTCAATCCAGAGTTGTTGTTTGTGAGTTTAAAAATAAATATTTGTAACCGTTTTTTTTTTAAATTGTGCTATTGCGTTAAGATAGGTCGACCACAAATACAATATGGGATTTTAAGATCGTTGTTGTCATCATATATTTCTAGTGTACATCTTCTCAGTCGCCAGGCTCTCATCCCGTCTCCAAAAATGTCTTCCTTTATTCTCATTCCCTTTCTAATTCGCTCCCATCCTGCAACACGGTCAATGACTTTGGTTCTTGCGTTCTCATTTCTATTCTCAACTGGAGTTTAATGGAAAGTTATCCACCAGACGATGTTATGTAAAATATTTAAATTGGCACCTTTCCGTCTTTCGAGACGAAAGTGTTATATTGCGCTATGAGGAGTCATGAGACTCACAGCCCATATTTATTGCCTGGTGCATTGGTTTTACAGCCTGCAGTTCAGATGTTGTCCTAGCTCCAAGCACCCATTGAAGCATACAAGCTGTGACGGATCAACACCTTATTGGCTGGGGGCTGCCCAGCTTGAGGCGGGCGGTAGTTGATCAATGACATTCGAAGATGTCTCACACCGTCAGATGCAACCCTTGGCGCCCTTGTCTCCGCCAACTGACAAGGACTTATAACCCGTACCTGCTGCCTCTCGATTTGTTTCCGAGAACGATTAAGGCCAGGCATGAAGTTCCTCCTCTCCATTGCACAAAGCCTGGGCAGTATTGTAGAGCCCATATGTTGCCTATGCTTAATGATCCCTTCCTCGACCTGCCTTGTTTACTCCAAAGGAAAGGTAAAACCAGTACGTTTGGAACGAGGCAGGTTGCAGAAGCTGCCGGATCAGAAGAGCAGTGCTCTATCAGTCCGCATGTCGGAGCTTCCCTCCTAGACCAGCTGCCAGCCAAGGCGAAGGGCCTGGTCTGCCCTGCCATAACACATAGTTATCAGGTTGCACTTCCTCTTCCTAGGATAAGGCTAGTATCCTCCCTAATGCGCCCCTCCGCCCGAAGCCATTGGCACAATATGGGATGTTCGGTTAGTATTCACCGCCCAACAGTCGTCGTGAAAGAAGACAGGTGGTACCGGCTACTTAAGTAAGTAAAATATACCAGGCAGTAAACGGTACAAGATATTGTTTGCATCTTTATCACTCAGAGACACGCCATGATACAGCGGTTAGGCTCGTATGGAGTCGCTTGTTTCAAAATGACCTTTGCTCCTAGGCCAACCCAGCCACAAATAGGTGCCAGGCAAGTTCTGGGAAGTCAAAGCATAACGCTGACCACCTGAAATACCCAGCGTTGATGAGGCTATACCATATAGTCGCGCGTAGAACCGTCATTCGGGAAGGGAAGACTCAACCACAAGCCTAATAAACAACCAAGCGCTGAAACAGGTGGTTAATCCTGTCATCCCCTGTTGGATGCAATTGTTCGTTATTTGAAGCCATACCCTGGCTCTTGCCAGGGGCCGCAATGTAGCCGGGCTATATAAATAAATATGGTCTAATGGCTGAACGCCGTTTCTGTGACCTCTCCACGGGTGATCCTCATCCACATGGTTGCACTTTGTGTCATCTGGTGTTTATCGCTTGTGTGATGTCCTGGTGGGGTAAACAAAAGATAGACAGATAGAAAACAGGTGGCAACGAACCGCAAGATATGGAGAGCTATGACCTCTGCCCTATGCGCCACCCTAGACTGACGAGCAAAGATTAACTAACTCGATAATACACGATACCAGTGAGAGACTGTGTGTGTGTGTGTGTGTGGGGTTGGGGTGGGGATGTGCGTGTGGGGGATGGGTGGGTGTGTGTGCGCGCGCTCGCTACTGTTTACCTCACTAATCCTTATTACTAAAACATATGCTACATCATGTTCTGTTTGTACCCTTGTCACCTGCAGGCCTTCTGCCACTGTGGCTGTTCACCCTGGGACCTCACCTGTATAAGGATGCAGACATCAAAATTCCATTCCTCAATATTTTCGGCTCCTTATTCATCATCATCATCCCGACGGTGATCGGGTTGTACATGAAGATAAAGACACCAAGGGCGGCCGACATCTTGATCAAGGCAACCAAACTTATCATGGCTGTGTTTATGTTGTTCATGTTTACTGTCGGGGTGTACGCCAACTGGTGGGTGCTGGGCCAGGCTGACAACAAAGTCTTGATCGCATCCGGTGCCCTCCCGTACCTTGGCTTCATTTTAGGTGGGTTTGCCGCTTTTGTTGGGAGGCGAACACCTCAAGATATCACCACCATTGCTGTGGAAACAGGTATACAGAACACAGCAGTACCCATTGTCTTACTGCGCATGTCTCTGAAAGGGCCGGAGCTGGCAACAGGCATTGTGGTTCCCCTGCTCTCATCAACGCTGACTCCAATTCCTCTCATTTTCGTCGTCATTTATATGGAGATCAACCACTGTCTACATCGCAGGCGCTCGGAGCATGTTGAAAAAGGTTAGTGGACACTGTCATGTAATATAAGGAAAATAGCCGACTTTGAAAATATCTGAATGCTAGTAAAATCGACAATAGTCTGATCCAAAAGTATTGTCCAAATTTAAAAATCGGAAACTCAGTAACCATTCGATGGAAGTTTGTGAAATTTGGCATGCAGCCAGTTAATAATCCTGTCGAAGGTTTTTTTAAAAATGTAACTAACTTATAGTTTTTATTTTGCCTTATTTGCGGAATATGCAGGGGGAAAAACAGACAGCGATTGCACTCAAACAATCAGCATGCTTACCGCAACTTGAGTAAACGGGGTAAGGGAAACATTTGAAACCATCAGACTGCACGCGTGTCGTAGACGTTTCAATCTCAGGTGGTCATCTTCAGTATAGGTCTCCTGTGAGTTGCGGATTTGTCACTGTGTAGGGAATAGGCTATCAAAATAACCATCACGCATCGCTGCACATATGAACTGATTTGCAAAAAATCTTCAAGCGCGTCTCAGTTACTGTATATTCTATTTTTCGGAGGTACAGAAATTATTAGTCAAACAAAGATCTAATAATTTTGCCGCTTTAAGAAAAATAGCAGCACCTGTGCAAGTGTAAATTATAGAATCCCAAGGATATGAGAAATCTAAGGCCACATAAAGAAAAAAAAAATCATACTGATCTTTACAGTAATTTTGAGACATTTACTAAAGTCTGACGGCATGGAGGACTGACGTTCAATCTCACCGTGACCGCAGATCGAACAATAAAAGTACTAGAAACCCGGTTTGACCGTTAGGTTATATTGGAGTCCCTATAACAGACGGGGTGGGGCTTCAGATTTATGAAAAATTGCGCCCCACACTGGAACGGAAATATGTGATTACTTGGTAAGCGTGAGTTTTGAGGCGCACTATAATATGAAAATATCGTTAGTAAAAAAAATTGCCTAATATCGGGGGCGGGGGCGGGCGGGGCGGGGACAAGAACGATTACACACTAACAAGGAGAATACCTTCACACAGAGGGTATCGCTCACTATAAACGATATTTTTGCAAGGAAATTACTTTGTATAAAAATATCAGAACAACTTACGAAGCCGGGTTCACCAAGAGCGGGACTTTC